TTTATCTAATTCAGCTGCCTGCAACACTGGGATTACAGGCATGCACCACCACACCCAGCATATGCCAGCTTAAAAGGTGGTCCTATTCCCTAGGGCTCTGTGTGCTGTCTCATGTCTTTCCCACACTGATTGTGAAGAATCACTTTTAGGGCAGGTTTATTTTTGTTTTTGGTGCCCAGGACCAAACCCAGGGCTTCCAGCTCGCTAGGCAAGTATTCTACTGCTGAGCCAAATCCCCAGCCCCTGTGAAGAATCACTTTTGCCTGGATGCATAAATATGGAGGTTTAGGCAGTTTTTCTACTGAGAGAACTCTCAGGCCAAGGCTGTCTAATTAGCTAAATGATTCATGAGAAGTAACTGTTACAGGCAGCCGAGTTAGATAAAAATATTATAGGCAGTCAGATAAGGCCAGGCCTTCCTCAAGAAGACAAGATAGAAAACAAGGTGACTTTACAACCTGGAAGAGACAAACACTCCCATATGGGCCATACCTCAAGCAAAAGAGGAAACAAATACAGCTACATACTTCCCTAGAAATGGGCATCAGGGATTGATATTCTAAATAGGTATCAATCACCTTAAAAGAGGGGCCAGAGAGATGGCTGAGTGGAATAAGCGCTTCCCTGGCAAGCAAGGGCCTAAGTTCAATCCCTGGTTCCATAAATAAATAAATAAATAAATAAATAAATAAATCACCTTAAAAGAGCCCAAATGAGTCACTAGCCCAACTCCCAACAAGAAGAGACCCTGTCTGGTATTCCAACCCCCAACAGGAAGAGATCCTGTCCCGTATTCATGCCCACTTGCTATGTAACTCACTTCCCCATTTGGTCCTGGAAGTAATCAATTTACCTGAGCAATGGTGCTTGTAATCCCATTGGTTGGCCATAATTTTGTCCCACCTCACATCTACCTAAGCGAGTCCCCATATTCTCCACCTTAGCCCCACATGATTTTGCCCTATAAAGATAACCTGAAAGAGATAGCTTCCTGGGCGACCTACTCGGGGCCCCCCTTCTGTCCTCTCTGAGACAGAAGCTTTCTTTCCCAATAAATATTCTACTCTCAACCTCCGTTTGTTCCTAAAAGTCATTCTTCAGTTTTAGAGAACACAAACTCCTCCCAGGTGCCTTTTAGGTCCCCGCTACATCGTAACCTTTACTTCTTGTTTACTTCATGCTTATTTTTGCTTTTGAGACAGTCTCACTAGGCAGTCCAGGCTAGCCTTGAACTCCATGCCTAGTTACTTCTCACTTGGATTTGAGTGAAGAGAAAAAAGCCCTACAAGATCCAGGTGGATCACGGTTTTACCTGTGTTTACTGGATGCCATCACAGGTAAATGTTGGCCCACTTTAGTCATACAGCCAAAGGGCTGAAAGCCTTCTAGTGGGCCAGCGCAAAAGGCTTTCTTTCTGCTTTGCATTTTCAAGCAGAATACCATCACGATTCTCATGTCTGGGCACCCAGCCGCACTACAGCTCTCTCACTTTCTTTGTGACAACCAGAGGGACAATATAACAGGAGGCTCTGTGGCAGCCAGTAGTGTCAACAGAGGCCAGATATCTAACCTGGATATACAGACCTTTCGCTCTTAGTTATTAGATCTTGGGCAAGGCATTGACTATTTCCTGCCCTAATTTTTTTCTGGAATTGGGCATAGAAGCCTTTGCACTTGACTACACCACAACCCTTTTTCTTCCTTCCAGATAGGGTCTCATTGAGTTTCCAAATTGCCTAGGGTGGGCTCAAACTTCTGATCCTCTTGCCTCAGCCTCACAGAATACTGGAACTACAGGCGTGTGCCAACAGGATTAGTTTGGACTCCAAGTTTAATAGCTAAAAAATCTTTGGGATCTTGCTATGCTGCCCAGGCTGGCCTTGAACTCCTGAGCTCAAATAATTCTTACTCCTCAGCCTCCTGAGTAGCTGTGCTAACAGGAATGTACCACTATGGAAGGCCTGAGTTAAATACTTTTTTCTTAGCAAAACCCTACAAAATCTGAAGTCACTCTGTAGGACAGACAGACAGTGGTTCTTCATGTGAATCCCACATGTGGACCTCAACTCCACTGACCTACCTGCCCCCACAAGCCCCTCCTTTCCACACCTGGCCAGGGCTCCCAGAGAACCTCCTTGAAAGCCTAAGGCTCCTCTGAACTCACTTTAATAAGCAGCTAAGGTGAAAGAATATCTAAGTTTCCTCACATCTCTCAGCAAAATGGAAAAACCATAGACTGTGGAGCTAGATTTAAATCTTTGCATTCTAGTTCTATATGATCAGTGTTATGGTTTTGACTGACTGACTTTGTGCCACTTTGACTTGAACCCAGAGCTCTTGCATTGAGCTGCATCCCTGACATTTTTTATTCTTTGAGATAGAATCTCACTAAATCACTAAATTATCTAGGCTAGGATTATAGGAATGTAATCAAATTTGTGATTTTCCTGCCTTAGCCTCCTAGAGTGCCTGAATCACAGGCATGCACTACTACACCCAACTCTTATACTTATTTTGGAAAAACTCCTGTGGGAAATACGTCAAATGTTTGTCTCACTGTGAAGTAATACTACTGAGGGAGAGCTAGTTCAACCATTCTATTTTAGTAAGTTGCCCTGCCACTGACAAAATATGACACAATATAGAACAGTAAAGTAGGAATCAGAAGTTATAAGTTCTGGTGCTGGGTGTGTAGCTCACTAGCCTGGCACTCATGAGTCCCTGGCTTCTATCCTTAACTCCACTAGGGTGGGGGTGGGGGTGAGAACAAATTAAAAAAATTAAAAAGAGGGTGTAAAAAGTATTTAGTGCAATACCTGAAATCCAGGAGGGATAAATGGTAGCTCTCCCAAAGGTTTGGCTTTGACCTGCATAGAACAAAACAAAGGAAGATTCAACTGTTAAATAGCAATGAGCTCTCTGTCATTCCAGAAGCCACAGCCTTAAGAACTTGAGGCTGAAATTCTCTAGAACTTGAATTGGTTTTGATTGTTCCAAATTAGCGGAGGCAGGAAAATTCTTCTAATTCACTGAACATTCTGCATGTACTGGGCAGCCTGTGTGGACACACCCCGAGTCTCTTAAATGACACCGGCCCATCCAACCACCACAGATGGAATTTAAAGCATGTTGCTTTTACCAAAGAATAACAGAGGAAATGTCATCGAGAAGGCTTTACTACAAAGCCACAAGAATTCAGTACCTGACATATTGAGTTCTATATGTCCCCCAGTGTCATGAAACAGTGAGAGAGAGAGAGAGAGAGAGAGAGAGAGAGAGAGAGAGAGAGAGCTGTTGCTCATTTGTGTAGGGCTGCTGTGATGGCCCACATTCTTCCAGTAGTGGGGTAGTTCTCATAAAGTGCAAACCAGAGTGTGGGCTTTGTGAAAAATCTCACTGTTGGGGGAGTTTCCTGGTATTGGATAAACTGAGCTCCACTTTACAGGCCCTAAACAGTATAGTAGCAGGGGACCGGGGTGCCTCCAGTCCTGTTCCCCTGCAAACTTACTCAAAAAACCTGAATCATACATTAGATGTTCCCTTCCACTTTTTTTTATTTTTTCAGTAGTACAGATTGAACCCAGAGCCTTCTCACAGAACTATTTCCCAGCCTGCCTTGCCCCCTTTTTTGAGATGAGGTCTTGCTAAGTTACTAAACTCTCCAGGCTAGGCCATCCTCCTACTTAGCCTCCCAGAGTGCTGGGATTACAGGCATGCTGGCTTCCCCTTACATTTTATAAAACTTTTCTTCCACATTCATTTCCCCCCCTTCCTTCCTCCCTCTCTCCCTGACTCTTTCCCTCTCTCACTGTCTCCCTCTCTGGTTTATATGGTACTTACTGAGGATTGAACCCAGAGCCTGAAACCTGTTGGGCAAGTGCCTGCCGCTGCGCAGGCACGCACGCCTCTCACCTGAGCACAGGTTCTCACCTGCACCCCCAGGTCAGGGCCCACAGAAGATCAGGTCAGCCGTTAGTTAATACCCCCTCACTCTGCACCTGATTTCCTGGGGCCCTGCCCCAGGCCACCAGGGAGCGCAGCAGAAGGTCCCAAATGTTTAAAGGCAGAAAAAAACAAAATGAACTGGGAGAAAGGAGGGGAAATGATGGAATTTGTTGGGGAGCTGGAATTTGAACTGAACCTTCAAGAACTCCCGAGCCAGGATGACCTCCGATGAGGAGCGGGTGTAAGGTAGGAAAAGGAGGGTCTGAAAGGCCAACTTCAGAGAATGATTCATATTCTAATGTGCTGGGGTGAGTGGCTGATGCTGGAGGTGGGAAGGGAAGTGGGAAATGAATGTCGAGACAAATTGTGGGCTTTGAATGCCAGGGTGAGGATTTCTTTTCCGCGCTTGGGAGCAGTGCGCTAGGAACAAGGCAGGATAATAATGAAGAGAGTGTAAGTTGCAAGGGGGGGTTGGGAGGGGGTGGCACACCAGGCTGGCACTGGCTAGAATAAGTCAGAACTTTCCCAGACTACCCCAGCTCTTGGTGTGTGGAGCTCTGGCTCTGTTTATAGCTCCCACAGAGGAAGGAGCAGAGATCCTGCGAGGTTTAAAATAGAGGGCTTCTCGGGCCCGGGGAACTCCGTCCAAACCATCATGGGAAAACAAGCGGCCGGGAATAATGACAAGGACAAGCCCGGGTCTGAGTCTCAGGGAGATCGATGTTTACTAAACACTTTGTCTCGGGACCACCTGCCTCGCAAACATCACGGCTCCCCAGGGCACCCGTCCTGCCCTGCCGGGGCAACTACAGGGCAGCTACCGTGCCGGGTGCTGGCCGGAACCGCACGCCTAGAAGCCCGGCCCGGCCGCCCCTCCTCCAGGGCAGCTGCAGGCGCTGTTTGTTTGCGGCTTGAGTTGCCTTCCAGCAGTGTCCCGAGGTTCACCCCTAGTGCAACTTCTGCCTCTGCCCCTCCTCTTCTTGGAAGTGTCTTTTATTTGTCTGGCGGCGTTGGTTCCAGGGGGGTGTGATGATGATGATAATAATACGCGGGCTTATATAACGCGCTGCATCCTGCAAGCGCTACGCAGAGTCCCTCCTTCGGGACCAGCCGCAGCCGGCGACTTCATCCGCCAGGGCGCAGCCGAGGAGGCGCTGAGCGGGGCGGGAGGGCGGCGGCGGCGGAGCCAGGCCTTCCCGGCTGCCGGGTCCTGGAGGTCAGGGCAGACTGAGGAACAATGACTCTCCCTTGGAGGAGGAGGACGGAAGTCCCGCTGCCACCTTATCTCCGCGGCTCCGTGTCCCCCCTGTTCCCAGCGCTCTTGCACTAGAGAAGAACGGGAAGGCGGCTCCTGTAAGTACGATGCTCTGTTCTCACCGGCACAAGCATGAGGAGACAAACTTTCCTTTCCTGCCCTTGAGCGTCCCGTATCGTTTATTTGTCTCCCTCCTTTCTTTTGGGAGGCGATGGCAAGTGTGTCCTGGCCGAACTCCTCCACCCAGGGTGGTCCTTCCGAAGGATCACAGAGCGAGGGAGGTGGCTTCTGATAATTCCCTTAGCACAACAGGACTCGGCGAGGCACTGAGGCCACTTGGAGGGCAATCTGGTCTTCACTGCTCCTCTCTCTGTCTCCCTCTCTCTCTCCCTCCCTGCCGTCCTCCCTCCTTTCCTAGATAAACGTGACCTGCTCATTCACCTGCCTTCTTAGGCAACCTAGCAACAACTTTGATCTTCAGTTGTAAATATTCACAATTCCAGTTAAATATAATTGTTGAAAGTTTCTTTTCACACTCTGAAATAAATTCCATCTCTTAGTGTGAGCTTGAAACTTGCTTGCACCGGCTTATGTAAACTTACGAAACACTATAGTGAACATGTTGATTTTTATTAAAGTTTTTTTTTTTCATTTAGTGGCTGAAGGGTTTTAATATGAAAGAAACATGAACACTAACTTCTTAAACCTTGGCAAAGCCCAAAGCTATGATTAAGCTGTTTCTGTGAAGAATGGTGAAATTCGCAGTGTTTCTCTCAGGGCGGGTCGCCTGGCTTTGAGTAACTCCCTTTCAGCAGGTGGTGCACTGAAAGACACTAGCCAAAAGACAACTTTCCAACACAGAAACTGTGACTTGCACATTGAGAACGCCAAGAAAGTAGAGTTCTATTTGGGGTAATTGTGTAATTTGCATTTACAAAACCATGATTATACTTTGTTATACTAAGAAATAGAAAAAAACTATTGCCTTAGTAGTTCAGGTAAGAAAATGAAGAAATTGGGTATAGTGTTTAAAAAAAAAAAAAAAGTCTTCTCACTTTAAGTAACTGAGCTAGATTGTCTTCATCTTAGATAAATAGAAGTGAAGCCTATATATGTTATCTGTCTGTCTATCTATCTATCTATCTATCTATCTATCTATCTACATTTATCTTGAACTTTTGCTTTGAGATAAAGCTTTGTTATGTAGTCCAGACTGGCCTAGAGCTAGTGATCCTCCTGCCTCAGCTGTCCAAGGGGGTCCTGTGTACACCCCCAACCTTGGTTGGCTTAGACCATAAATAGCTCCCAAAGGCTGAACTTACATAGAACCTACATATTTGTTGTATCTGTTTGGTGCTTAGTGTTTTACATGATGTTGTAATATCCCAAATGAACCAAACAAGAAATTTCATTCAGATTTCAGGTTTCAGTGAAGTTATTTTTCATTATTTAACAAACATGTCTGTTTTGGAGATTCTCTTCATGTAATATTTCTATTTCAAATTATCTGCAGCTCCTAAGAAATTTTAATATATAATTAAGCTTGAAAATGAGACCAGATTCTAGGTGTTCTTACCCCTAAATTTAAAACTAGAGTCCATCCTCTAGCTAATTTGATTTCAAGGGCCAGTCACAGAATCTCAGCATTTATGGCAGTAGCCTACTCAGTAACAGAAGAAAGAACACAGAGTTGACAAAATTTGAATTTGAGTCTTGGTTTAGCCATCACTTGATTTTAGATCATCTTCAAGAGCCTTCAGATGGGGCTGGGGAGATAGCTCAGTAGAGTAAGTGCTTGCCTGGCAAGCGCAAGGGCCTGAGTTCAATCCCCAGTTCTCAAAAAACCTTCAGACTCTCAACCTCAGGTTTTGCATTTATAAAATGGGACCAATACTATATCCTCCAAAGAGGGCCGGGGAGATGGCTCAGTAAAATAAGCACTTGCCTGGCAAACGCAAGGGCCTGAGTTCAATCCCTGGTCTGCCAAAAACAAACAAACAAAAAAACACCACTATATCCCCCAAAGAGACTGCTGACAAGGCTAAAAGGAAGTGACCAATGTTTTTGAGGACAGAGTCTGAAAGTAGTGTTTAATTCCTTTTAGGATTTTTCTATTTATTTTTATTTTTTATCATTCATTCAATTCCTTCACTTTATTAAGCGTTTACTATGGATTCCATGCTGTGCTAAGCACTGCTGATATGAAGACGAATACTTGCCCTGGAATTCATAATCTGAGGAGACAGAAAAGACAACACATGGTGTTCCGCGCAGTATAATACCTGAAAAAACTAGTTGTATGTTCCAAACCATAAGAATACTGAGGCCAGAGTGGTTATCTCTTGCTAAGAAAACTAGAGGAACTTTTCACAAAGGGGATGTTGACTGAGTTTTAAAGGCTAAGCAGTAGGTAGGGAAGGGCATTGCAGAAGAGGTAGCAGGAGAGCAGGAGGTCCAAGCCAGCCTGGCACCGGAACTGGTGCACATGGTGGGAGAGTATTGAATGGAGCTGTGTGGCAGGACTAGGAGGGGTTCAGTCAGTGTGCTGGTACTTCATGCCCCGCTGTTTGGACCTGCTGGCCCTGGTGAAACAAACTCACCCCTCACCAGCCTCGGATCTGCAGTTTGCTTTAGTGTCGTACTAAGGTAAAATAAGCTGTCAATGCACTATATCCCTAAGACACTGTTTGACACAATGGGTAATATTTTAGGGGGGTGGTATTAGGCATTGAACCCTGAACCTTCTGCAGGATAGATAAGCATTCTACTGCTGAACTAGTCCATCCATCCTTAATAGCTTTGTTTGTTGAAAACTCATCCCAGGGATGAAAACACTGTGGTACAACTTCCTTAGACATTCAAATTAGGTACTTTGGGGGAGACTTTGATCAGTGGGGAGACACAAGAAAGTC